ACACACACACACACACACACACACACACACACACGTTTGTTTCTTGACCCCGTGGGGACCTTCCATTGACTTCCATTCATTTTCTGGTATTTTATAGCCTAACCCTGACCATTTACCCTAAAATTAACCTCATCTGATCCTAAAACTAACCTAAACTCAATTCACACCTTGGTCCTAAACCAAACCCCCCATCTTAAATTAGCATCCGTACCTGTGGGGACCAGGATTTGGTTGTTTATAAGTAAACAACGTTAATTAGAGGATTATTATTGCCTCTTTGGCAAACAGTTATTTAATGTCACCACTGATGAGTGCATAATGAAATTTAATAAAAATGAATTGAAGTTCCTCATATTGGACAAACAGCACCACCCAGTGGTCGAATCTATCGTGCAGACGTATATGAAATCCCCAGGGAGAATACATTTCTCACATTCTTCTTTAAGCTGATAGTTTGTGTGTGTTTTGGCCTCAGTCATGAGCAAATGTAATATTGAACTAATTAAATCACAGGGGCAGCTGTGGCAGAGTGGTTAGGGGAGTCCTGGAACCAGAAGGTCGCCGGTTTGATCCCCCATCCAGCTGTCTCAGTTGTTGTCCTTGGGCAAGACACTTCACCCCTAATGCCTCTGATGTGTGTCCCATCAGTRTATGAATGTGATTGGCACTGATTAGTCTCCATAGATTATTGTATATGTTAGCTTTGTAGAGACCTAATAGAGTGCTGTGTGAATGGGTAAATGAGGACACAGATTGTAGTGAGAAGCGCTTTGAGTGTCCTAGATGGAAAGAAAAGCGCTATATAAGTACAGTCCATTTACCATTTTTATACTGTGTGTTAACTGCACAGTGGTTTAACTARCCCATAACATGTTTAGGTTCTTTGCTTTAAAAAATCAAGATGGTAAAGCTAAACACAAGGCAGWAAAATCTACTTTAGTAGAACAACGAGGCTGTTTATCGGCATTCAGTGTCATATTAGTCTAATCCTTGTAGAATTATCTCTTGATGATCTTAATTTTCTTACTGTCACAATAAGAAATAAAGGCATAGTGACTTCATTCTTCACTCAAACACTGAGCTTTATGAAGACTGTAATCTGCAGTACAACAGTACACTGACAGTTGTCAGCTGTTTTCCACAGCTTCACTGTGAATGCGATGCCCACACTGTTTGGTCAGGTGAATATAAATGTAACATATTGCTGCTCAGACTGTTCTGTGATTGAATATAACTTACAGTGACCACAGTGGGTCCAAACAGCTCCAAAATAATCAGAACAAACATTAAATTAAGAGAAATTAACTGGGCAGAGCTCTGCTAATCCACTCAGATTAAAGGATTATGATAAACGGTTCATAGTTAAATATCAACTTCATTAAGCATCATTAAAAAAAAAAAGAAAAACAAGAAAGAAAAAGCCATATCTGCAGAATATTTCCAGGGATTGCTGTTTGATTATTTTAAGCAGAAATTATTCTGTTTTGAACACTGAGGCGTCCAGGTGATGACACTGTGAGGGGTCACATCAGGTCAGGAGGTGGTCCTACAGCCGTGCGTAAAACAGTGGTCTGAGTGAAACCGTTTTCATTTTTTTTGATCAAGGTCTTTTTATTAATTTTTTTAAACAAACCACAAAAAAGAACAGACT